CCCCCCCCCCCCCCAACCCCCGCACCCCGGCCCCCTTCCAATTGAATACATAATTATCCTGGGTATTACAGTTGTCTCAAGAGAATCAAGCTTATGCAAGATTCTGAGGTAAACAAGGGGAATTACGAGCAATATGAAAATGGTGAATACAGTCGACTCTCTCTTAACGAACACCTCTAAAAGACGGACACCTCTGTAAAACGGACACCTAGAGTTGGTCCCTGCCTTTCTTTACTCCTTGTATTTGACTCTTTATTGACATCTCTCTAAGATGGACACTTAGTACCGGTCCCAAAGGTGTCCGTCTTAGAAAGAGTTGACTGTACATGTACAGGTTGAGGCAGGTTGCAAGATGCCAAGAATTCGCACAGCTCATAAGATCAGTGAAAGACAACGCACTGGTGATGTGTTGACAGATGAACTTGTGGACTTCAAGTCATTGCTACTCTCTCCTGATGTTTTGAAAGGTCTCAGTTCATGTGGCTTTGAGAGGCCGTCTCCAATCCAGCTGAAAGCCATTCCACTGGGTCGTTGTGGTTTAGGTAAATAACACAGAAACTGACCTTATCACGGCTTTGGAAGACATCTTGACAAGTGGGCATTCCCACTTGTCAAAAATTGCAGACAAATGTTTGGAAAACCTAAAGCAAACAACCGCAAAAATTTAAGCACAGGTGCGGCACGAAAAATTGGTTCTACAATCCTTTGATGTGAAGCTTAATTTTGCAGTTCATATATTTTCAGAACAGCCGTTTTACACAAACTATTCAACATTAGATTCCCATACAATCAGTGTAATTTCCGATGTGGTTGCCTACCATCAACATTACCTCCAAAAACCATGATAAGGTCTATATACCCATAGTGGATCATATAATATGGTATAAAAAACAGAGGGATAACATTCATTATTGTTACACTTTCTGTCATATCCTGGCATGCATGGACAACTTATTATTCTGCATTGAAAGCTTGGTACACTGACTGCCCTCCAGTGGTTGACATATAAATTATGTACAAAATTAATACAGGGTACTCTGAAAGCCCTGGGGACTGAGGAAAATTGTTATTCTTACATAATAGAAGAATAATAAATCTTCCATGTTTGTTTCTCAACTTTTGTGTTGGGTAAAAACTTTATAACTGGTGCAAAGACAGAGATATAGTAGCTGAGATACACTGTATTATATAGATGAGTAACTTGATTGACACTTGAGCCAGAAATCGAAAATGTGTTGTTGACCACAACACTAGTTGTGTTAAGTTATATGATTGTGAATGTTGTGTTTTAGATCTAATTTCCCAGGCCAAGTCTGGTACTGGGAAAACGTGTGTTTTTAGTGTGATTGCCTTGGAAAGTCTGTCACTGGATAGCAACTCCACTCAGGTAAGATAAGCATTTGTGATGTATGATTATGCCATTAGGCACAGTTATGATGATGACAATGATGATTACATCGTTGCTGTCAGCCTTGATATCAAGTTTATGTTACTGTTCATTATAAATTTAGTAATGGGAATTATTTCTTAATAAAAAAATTATTGTTGATCATTAACAGTTACTTTAATATGTTAGCACTGGAAGACTGGGTTGATAAGGGTGATGATGATGATGATGATGATGATGATGGTGAATATGACTTTGACTATTACAATGATGATGACGATGTTGATGATAATGACGATGACAATGATGGTGACAATGATGATGCAATGACAACAACAATGATGATGAAAATGAAGCTGATGAC